AAAAGACTTTACAAGTGTTTGTAATTATTTTGGAAAATATTGTATTATCGTAATAAGAGAATTGGTAGAAGTTTGTGTATATTACTAACCTGCTAACCCAACCAACCCGCCATAATCCACAAACGTTGGGTTGGTATATACTTTTGAATGAGTTGGATTGGTTGAGATTTTCCAAACCCCTATAATTGGGTTGAGTTGTAAGTCGCACTGCACACCACCAGGTCCTCTCACGTATATTATTACATGTCACATGTGATAAGGGTGTTCATAAGTTTTCGTAAAATAGAGGTCTTGTTGTTTGAAGTCTATATACATATACATATATATATATATATATGTATATATATAGAGAGAGGGGGATGTTAACAGGAGAGAAATGGGTATAGAAAAAAGTTGTTTTGTAAATTGCTTTACGTCATGTCTATTGGCTTTGACAGCAATGAGGCTTTTTTTAATCCTTTTTTTCAATAGGAGAGAGAGAGAGAGAGAGAGAGAGAGAGAGAGAGAGTATACTTGTAAGCATCAAAGTACCAGTAGCATCTCTTTAGGTTTTCCTTTCTTTATTTTATATATATATATATATATATATATATATATATATCATTTTGGTAAAAATGTAAAAAAATGAAAAATTTAAATTCAAAGGGTATAAGATTTATCGGTATTTTTGAAGAAAAGATTGATTCTCGACAATCCTAACCGGTCCCATATGGAACACATTCCCTCTTGAAACCACACGTGAAAGGCTTTTCAAAGCTTAATCAGTAGAAAAGGCTAGCAAAAGGGGTTCGAGTCCATCTCCTACAGTATTGGAACTTAAAGCAAAGGTTGCGGACACGCTCAAGGTAGCCCCTGAGGATGTTTCAATGTGCCATATGAGCGTCTGAGTTTAGACAAAGGCAAGGGCAACATATTATATATCTGTATGGAACAAGCTATATATATGTTGGAACTTCTTTTCTCTACTCAATAGCTCTTTTGGAGATTAATCTGAGGTTCCGCATATTCTCACATGTTATAAGAGCCAACATCTACCATTATGAGGATTCGACACCTTGGGGCAATCTGTATCCGTCTAAGGCGTGTAGACTTGAACGATTTCTGCTCTATATACGTTGGAACCTCCATTCTCTCATCAATGGCTCTTTTGGAGATTAATCTGAGGTTCCACATATTCTCAAATGGTATCAGGGCCAAAGTTTACCACTCTAAGGATTCGACACTTTAGGATAATCTGTGTCCGTCTAACCTATAGTGGAGGGGGCGTGTTAGAGTTTCAAAGATTGTGTATACTGTTTGCTTTGCCTCTTGAAATGCCGAGATCGACCCGTCATATCGTTTGTATTTCTGTTTAACTTCCGACATGAAAAACAACTGAATCTTTAGGACGATTTAAATACAATGAATAAATAAACTTAGGTTTCTAAATATAGGAATGAAGTGGTGGAGCCTCATATATGTGAAATTATTGATGATTCAAAAAGAAAGAAGAAAAACACATGCTTTGGCATGTAGTTGATGACATGAACATTTTATTCTTTTACATGAAATGAAATGACACCTTATTTGTTACCATTCTAATGTTATCTTTTATTTTAAAAGTCAAATCGACACTGAACTGAATAACAACGACAAAAATCCGAGACAATGAAACCCTGTTTTTCTTCCTTTCTATATCGTCGTCAAATTATTGATATTTGGTTTTCCATTTTTTTTTTTGAAATGCTGTTAAAACACCGTTCATGTAGATAGATATATTGGTTACCGTGACATTCATTTAAAGTTTTATAGAAAGTTGGGATCGTGTCAAATGATGTTCTAGTGTGCATATGAAACAGTGCCCACAAGAATTTTAGGGTTCAATTATATACTCTTTCGGTCTTTCTCTCCCGAATTAAATGTACAAATGAAAATTAGGGGTGTGCAAAACCCAAATTATCTAAAATCCGAAAATCAACTTTTTGGGGAAATTTTGATTTAGGGTTGGGTTTTATTTTTTGGCCATCCGATCCGTCTGAAAACCCGATATATATATATATATATACACACACACACTTATTTATCTAAATATCTTTTGAAAATCCTAAAAGTTTTAGTCAATCGTGTTTTTTTTAATTTTAAACATATTATCGATTTATCAATCCTATAAATCAATTGAATTCATTGTAAAAATCGATTAGATATATATATATATATATATATATATATATATATAGACTTGGGATCATATGAGATCAGCCTGTTTTCGTGAGACCCGTGAGACCAACATTTTACACTTGAAACTTCACAGTAAAATGCTGTGAAGGTGAATTTTTAAAACCTTCACAGTGTTTTTGCTGTGAAGGTTCGACTTTTTTTAAACCTTCATAGTGTTTTTACAGTGAAGATTACGTGTAAAAATGTGGTCTCACGAAAACAGGTTGGTCTCACGTGAACCCAACCCTATATATATATAGAGGAGCGATCAAATGACAACCACTCTCATTTGTACAAACCGTACAAACCACCTTCATACGTCGATTTCATTGTTTAATCTTATGAAATTTTTTCATGAAATTGTTTAATCTTGTGAAATTGTTTTATATAATACTTTTTTTGATTAATTTATTTTATATATGGTTATGAAATTGTTTCATATAATATTTAATGAAATTTTAATGAAACTGTTTCATGTATTTCTCTAAAATTAAAATAATGAAGATGATAATATCCATTATCAACACCTCCACAATAAAAATGGTTAATCAACATCTCATAATTACAAAAAAATGAACAAAATGAAAAATTATGATTGGTTGAATGCGGTTTGCACGGTGTGTACAAATTGAGTGGTTTTTATTTGAACGCATATATATATTTGCATTATAACTAAACCTGAACCCGGCCGACTTCAACCCGAAACCCGACCAACCCGAACCCAACGGACCTCAACCCGGAACCCGACCAACCCGAAGCAATCCAAAATCCAAATATCGGGACTTGATTTCCATATCCGAAACCCGATCGGGTTTTTGATTTTCCCACCCGAACCCATCCGATGCACACCCCTAATGAAAATGACACACGGTTTTAAAAACGTCTAGTTATTATACTTTTTAATTAACAAAATGACAATTTTAACCTTAATTATCGAGACTTAAATTTTCTAAATCTCATAACTAACAATAAAATGTGAGAAAATCGACATTTACTTTTAAAAGTAGACACTTATTTTGGGACGGATGGAATATATATTTCTTTAACACTTAGCCCAGTTATAATATTTTAACCCAGTTATAATACATCAAATTTTTACTCTTTTAGTCAATTTGACGACCCTTTATTCCCCCCTTCAAAGAAAGTTAGAAAAATTATCTTATTAAAATGAATTTCATATTTTACTTTATTATTACAAAACATTTTTTTTATTTAATTTATAAGATTTTTATAAACTTCTATGTTTTTTACTTATTTATTATTTATCTTATCGATTTATAATTTTGGTACATGTGTAACAAAACCTCTAAAAAAATAGAAATGCAGGGCTCTTGAAAATATGTAATAACTTATATTTTAATTGAATTAAATAATCCAATAAAAAGAATTTATTAAAATGAAATCTAAGGATATGATCCTCTTGTCCCACTACTTTAGGTTTTTGCTTATGGTTTGATTCACGTTTTCATATTATGTCTTTGGTGCAAAACCAACGAATTGTATTCAATGGGACCCATAATCTTTGTTACGTAGATCAAAGATTTGTAAAGTTGTTTAATGTTTTTTAGCTGAATTCTGATGTATTTTTCAAGTTTTTTGGTTTATTTCAAGGGATTTTTTTCCCCTTTTTTGGTTGATGTTTTTTGTAATTTTAACATCTCGAAGCACCTTTCAAAGTTTAACAGATACACCTTTCATACCTCAAAAAAAATTCTACTTGTGAAAATAAAGCCGATCAAGTGCACGGGACCTTGTTCAGGGCTTCATAGGTCCACCCCTGATGATGTTAAATGAATTTTCAATGTTGAAGTAGCATCTTTTTTATGTGGAGTTTAATTTTATATTTCGGGAAAAAGAAAGATCCAGATGGTTTTTGATAATGGATGCTAATTAAGGGTGTAATATGAATGATTTTGATAGTGGATGCTAATTAAGGGTGTAATATGAATGATTTTGATAGCGGATGCTAATTAAGGGTGTATGATGAAAGTAAAGGGTAAAATTGTCATTTTTGTTATTCTGACAGTTTATTTTGTCTAACGAATAAACTACAGTTCAATTTAATCTACAGTGACAACATAATACATATAAACAAAATGGATTTAAGGATGGATGCATGGGAGAAGCCCAAAATCACATGTGATTTTAAAGTAAAATCACATGTGATACAACACATCCAAAATACGCGTGACTAGTCAAGGCATGAAAACTCACCCGCACCATTGCTGGTTAACGCATACATGTTTGTATCACACGTGATTTTACTTTAAAATCACATTTGATTTGGGCATTCCCGCTCTTCTTGAAAGTTAACCATCTTCTCGTTTGAACCCGTCTATTAAGAATAATTCATGCATCTAGATGACGGTTCTCGAAAATTACAACCATAGAAGATGGTCGAAGACGATACGAATGATTTTCATCAAACATATACCAAAGTTTAGCTTTTCGAATCTTTTTTTCGAGAAAAGATGGTCGGGTTTTAATCGATCGAACCAAAAATTCCAATATTTTGTTCTGGCCGACAGCAAATTTTGCAATGGAAGTTGTCAAAGATCATCCCACTATGAATGGATTGAATTTGATACAAAGTGATGAGATGCTTATCCTTTTGTAGCCAATGTCTCACTGTAAGCATGCAAAATGAGTCCAAATTCATCAGCCATCTGCCATGGCAGACAGAAGGTATATCTTCAAGTCTTGTATAACTTCATTTCATCAAGATACCATATCTATCACAAACCCTAAACCTAGAATTGTGATTAGCTCAAAATCTACATGATGTCGATCTTTAAAACCATGATGTAGTAAAGTTTCATATGCAAGCAACGTCTCAAAATCACAAGATTCGGGTTAGAATCCATACAGTTTTAACATATAATCTTGAATTTATACAAGCATTATGCTTTCTTGAAGAGTTCTAATAGAAAGAAAGAAAAAAAAAAACAGATGTTTCTGGTTTACCCTTGTTTAGATTTTCTGGATGACGACTGAATTGGCAAGACCAGCTTGGTCGATGGTCTGGTTTGGATCGGTGAGTTGTTTGGGTGGGAACCCAACGGTCTGAAGCTGGTAAGCTCGTGAACCATCTGGTCTAGATGCGTTAATGAAGGCTCGAATATCGGCGACGGTATGATGGTGGTTGAAGTGGGCGATCATCCGGGTGCCATCAGCTAAGCGTAGCTGAATTGAGGTTGATGGTAACGTGGGGTCCAGAACTAGACCGCCAAAGGTGGGGGCAGGATTTGAAGTATTTGGCTCGGGTGCGACCTCATCTGGGTTCCGACCTAATGTTCTTCCTAAACCTTGAAATGCAACTTGGGTCGCCACTACTTCCTACAAAAGCAAACAAAGACCAGAACGGTTTAGTTAAATTACGCAAATTGCTAAACTATGTAAATACCGTGTTCAATTTTTCCCAAAGCATTTTGTTAACAAAATCCGCCTAACAGGATGCCAAATATGTCTAAGGGGTTGTTTAGTTAGTTTTTCATCAACTCCTTTTATGGGTAAAGCTGTCTGTGTGGATTATTCTTTCTGTGTGGATTATTCTGTCTATAGAGACTGGAAGTTCTTTGTTTGAAAGGGTTTTTTCATCGATAGAAAGAGCATGTTTTTTAATCGGGAGGGATAGGTTTGAAAAAAACTTGGTTTTCTGCATAAAGCTCCCCCCTAAAAGCTTATTGGGGTCCCGAGATATTCTATGATCAAAGGCTTTATGGTTGTCACAATAAATAAGTCACTTTCTATATCATTTATTCACTACCAAACAGTCATGTATAACTAACCGAATAAGTTGCAAGTCTCGTTAAGCTACTAATAAACAAGCCCTAAATGCCCTAATAAACTGTTTTACAAGACATAAGTTTATAGCACCAACCAATTGTGAGTCTATGTATAAGGTGTTAAAAGTAGATGAGAAGAGGCATGAATCAAAATATACACAAAAACATCAAAAATTGAACATCGGATGAAGAGGGAGAGACTCACTGGATGATTTTCGTCCCTCCTTATCAGATTGACGTTGACCGAAGACCTTCTATCTGCAGGCTCAAGCTCTCTCGGACACTCGGACTTCCTGATGCTCTGCACAAAGGGAAAAAAAGCTGATGTTAGAAACCAGAATGGGCAAAAACGTGTGTTGAGTCCCTAGATGTGGCAGATCCCAGCTCTGATACCATGTAAGGATATGTGAAACCCCTTCCAATCTCTCTAAAAAAGCCCTTACAGAGAGAGGGGAGGGGGGTTCATATTCCTACATATATACAGGTTTGATGATCCGTGTTTGTTAGCAGCTTAATGAGCTTAATAGGAATCATAGCATATTTGGACAGCTTTACATCACTGTTTGGTAGCGGATTAATGATGTAGAAAGTGGCTTATTCAGTAAGCTTTTAGGGGGAAATTTTATGCAGAAAGCCAAAAAAAATTTCCAAACTTGCCCCTCCCAGTTAAAGAACACGTTCCTTCCATCTATGAAAAAACCCTTCTAAACAAAAATCTTCCCAATCTACACAGACAGATTAATCCACACAGACAATTTTATCCATTCAGAACTTAATGGAAAACCAACCAAGCAACCTCTAATTGATGTGGGACTCCAACAGACTGTTTCTTTCACTCGAACCCGTAGAGTAAACCTTATCAGTTGCTCCAAGCACACCCCCACAAGGCGGAACACCCAACAACAAAATTAAATGACAATTATACCCTTTATAATAGAGGGAGTAATGAACTTCTCCATCTAATAATTAACGGCAGAAACGGAAAAGAGGGACTTGTTTTCCTATTAAATGGACACTGATTTTGGGAAAAACTAACATTGAAATTTGGACACATGTATTCTAATTTACCTCGAGGAAAGGTGCATTTTCAGGATCATCCAACCTCCGCAAAGGTCCATCGTTTACGGTGAAACCGTTTCTCCAGAAGGCAATGTTGTGCACGACATTTTGCGGTGGTTCAGGAGCAGCTGGCACTGGTTCACCGGTCAGTAATCTCCCGGTGCCTGTAAAACTTCTTGAGCTCGAAGGACGAAGATTTTCCATGGGTTCTTCAACACCACCTAATTGCCTCGCTTGATTAAATATTTCGTCCACATCATTACGCTTATTTGGATCTTGGACAAGCATACCACTGAAAATAGCATTACGACCAACGTCAGCAAAATATCCGTTCATCATACGCCTTTATACTAACCCATAGGAAATAACATACAAGAAGTTGCTAAATGAACATGTACCAAAACCAACATGTTCAACTGGCAATAAGGCTTGGGCTTTTGGGGATCCTCCTGAAAGGTCACTGGTTCGAGTCTTACAAGGCCATTGGGGATTTTCTTTGCTGTTCTCCAATAGAGGTGTTCAAAAAAACCATTTGGAACGCTCAACGTGGTCGAACCAAGTCAAACCAGACCTTTTTAGCGGTTTGGCGGCCCGGTCTGAAAAATAGCCAAACCGCTTGCTCCAGTCTGGTCTGCGGTTTGACCTTTTTTAGAGCGGTCTAGACCGAACCAACCGCCAAAAAGTACACATATATATTAATTATATTTAGTTTTCATGTTATAGGCTGAACTTTATGGCACAATTAAAAAAAAGCTACTTATGTTTGGTAAAACTAGTTGATAAGTTAGATGACAATGTAAAATGACCTAATAGAATACACTGAAATATTAACTGGAAAATATAAGGGGGTGATTCGAAAAAAAAGTGGAACAAACCCATGGAGCTTATTAAAACAGGACTTGTAGTAGCTTTTTAAAAAGTGAGTTTATGGCTAACATAACGGGGCTTTTTTCAATAAGCTCAAATAATGAACATGACCTTATTTTCCAGATAGAAACAAAAAAAAAAAGAAATGGAAATTGCAGGTTAAAGTTCACATTTCTTCCCTTCATTTTACTTTTCCTACATCAACAATACAACTCTTCTGAATAACGGGCTGCAAAACAAGTTCGATATTGAAACTAAGAATTAGACTTTTGATGGTCTTAAAGGAGGACTTCAGGATATGGCCATGGAACCCATTACAAAGAAACCGAATACTACCAAGCAATAAGTTACGAGTAGCAAGTATTCCCTCTGTTCCACATAAGTGTCCTTATTTCTATTTTTACTTTGTCCCAAAATAAGTGTCAACTTTCAAAAGTAGAATGCTTACTTTCCAAATCTACCCTTAATTATGAGATGAAGAAATTCATTACTCCCTCTATTATAAAGGGTGAATTTGTCATTTAGTCAACTAAAAAGGTAATAATTACACATTGCTAAAACTGTGTGCTTTTTTTATCGTGAACATTTATTTTGGGAAAGAGGGAATATGTAAAAGGGTAATCGGGAGAGTGCATTGGGGCAGCACTAATCACTGGCTGAGTAAGGGATTGTTTGGTTGGTTTTCCATTTAATCTTCTATGGATAAATCAGTCTATGTGGATTAACCTGCCGGTATAGATTTAGAAGGTTTTTGTTTGGGAGGGTTTTCTCATAGATGGAGGAGCATGTTTTTTAATTAGTAGGGGAGGATTTAGAAAAAAACTTAGCTTTCTGCATAAAGCTCCCCCTAGAAGCTTACTGAATAAGTCACTTTCTATATCATTAAGCCACTACCGAATAGTCATGTATAGTTGACCACATAAGTTGCGAGTCCGATTAAGTCATCAAGCTGCTAACAAACAGGCCCCAAGAGCCTCTCCCTTAGCTTACCAGGTCAACATCATAGACGGGTAAGAGGGGCTTGGTAAATAGCAGTATAAGCGATAAGCAGGTAGTAAACAACCCCATTACTAAACCTATTTACTTATGATGATCTTGCCTTTTCAGTATCATGTTAAAAAAGGTTTTATTTACGGTTCTTCAACTGTCGTTTTCAACTCCCCAAACATGATTTAGTGAGTTCTTAAGAATTGAGTGGTCACATGATTGGAAATTGAGAACTCCTTGTACGAGTTGATATAGAAACTAAACTGTATTACAAAAAATAAATAGGTACATACACATTCTAGGATGATATCTAACATAATGCTCCATCATTGGAACTAATTTATACCATAATTAAGCAAAGAGTTTTTTATTGTATGGCTATAAACTCTCAGAATCTGTTATCCGAAGAAATACACTATTATGACAAATATCTCTTTAAGAATCTGCATCAAACAATAAAAGTTGGAGCACGTCATGCACGAGTCCTACTAAGTACTAACTACTCCGATTCTATTCAAATAAAGAAAGCTCCATCATACCTCAAATGAATGCATATGCAAGTATGCAACCTACACATGATAAGTGTGTTTGGTAAGTAGAACAGGGCGGGACAGAACATACCAAAAACTTGTTTGGTATGTGGAATTGAACTTTATGGTCCCACCAAAATAGGCGGAATGATAGGAAGGGAGATGGGATCAGATTGGTAAATTACTAAACTACCCATGTCAAATTAAGACCCAAAAAGCGCTAAAACCCTATGCTGTCAATCGTGGTGCTATAGCGGTTAGCGGCCCTTGGACAAATTGCCCTGGTTAATAGCGGTTCCGCGGCTGCCGCCTACCTCATTCTCTTACAATTCTTTCACCAGTGACATACCTACCTCATTCTCCCCCCCCCCCCTTTCCCTAAAACCCTAATGGGCTGTTTGGTTGATCTTTTTTTAAGTCGTGTACGGAAGCTGTTTGTGTAGATTAATTTGTTTGTAAGATTGGGAAGGGTTTTGTTTGGAATGGATTTTTCATGGACAAAAGGAGGTGTTTTTTAATTGGAAGAGACCGTATTGGGAAAAAAAATATTGGCTTTCTACGTAAAGCCCCCCTGGAAGGTTACTGTAAGTCACTTTTTATATGATTAAGCACTACCAAACAGTCGTATATAGCTGACAACAGGCCCTAAAACCCTGATCTTATCGGATTGCAGAAAGTGGACTATAATTGTGAAAAAAAAAAAAAAAAAGCCTTAAAGATATCAAGTTCATATAAAGAAATCTTACACAATTAAACCAAACTTATGCAATTCCAATCTGACCCACGTTCCTTTATGTTAAAAAGCACAAATAAGCGACAATTTTTCCACGGTTCCTAAAAATTCTAGGCAACAAAACGTCAAAACGTAAATTACAATGAAAATATCACAAACAAACACCAATTCCAACTCTGAAATAGGATTATACAGTAACAATGATGAATCATAAGAAGATCTAGAGTTTGTGAGTAACAAAAGAAGATGAAAAACCTCTTTTCGCCGCCGGTATAGTACTCCTGAGGGCTATCGGAATCGCTGTCGGAGTCATTAGCGGTGGGGCGATTCAAATCGGAGAGGGTCCGAATACCACCAGGTCGACTGGTTGAGGGTTTCGCCGGTTTCTTATCACGGGAGGTCATCGTTTGCTGAAGGTTACCGTCGGTCCAGTGGTAGCTGAATTCACAAGAAACAGAAAGAGAAAAAGGAGCAATTGGATTTTAATAAAAAAGAGATTAACTTTATGTAATGATTAGAACAGAACAGAGGATAATTTCATTTTAAGCCCTTCAAATATGTTCGAATGACATAATAACTCTAGTATTATTAAAAGATTACCTTTTAGCCCCTTCATTTAAGTAGGTTGTATTTGGTACACGGCACTCGATAATAGAAAAACTCATTGTTCCATGTAGGCCAAATTGGTCAAACCAAGTTAGACCTGATCGTTTTGGCAGTTTGAGTGGTTTGGGGGTCCGGTCCAAAAAACAGGCAAACTCTTTGGTTTTGTCAGGTCTGCAATTTGAAAGTCTTTTTGAGCGGTATGGACTAAACCGACAGCCAAAAGTACATATATATTGACAAAAAGTTCGTCCGAACCATTGTGTTTTCGATTTTCATAATTGACAGCGTTATCTAAATTGACAAAATCCTGAAATTCGTCAAAAATAAAATTTTGATATTCCAAATCATTCTTCGACTTGCTCAACGATTGTCCAAAGTTCCAACTGTTGTTGGTGGACTTCGTTAACTTTTTTTCACTTGCCTCAAATGCTTTTTTTTTTTTTTTTTTAATTTTAGTGATAGGTTATATATGCTATTTTTTTAATAATGTTATGTTGATAGAGTTTTTATTTTGGATATAGATGTTATGTTTTTTTAGTTTAAAGCTCTAAGAAGCTTAAACCGCCTAAACCGGTCAGACCAAACTGCCTTCTGTGGTCTGGTTTGATCAATTGTGGGCAAGGATCCAAGATGAACGCTTTTTTCATTCGCCATGCTCACTCTTTCTCCGGACCATAAGCAAAGTGACACTCACGCAAAACATGTAAACTGTCTGCTCTGAGCTTGAGAGGATTTATGATCATCTTTTGAGAGTTGTATGTAACTACAATTCTTTATGGACACCCCGTATTTACCAAGCGGGTGTCTCGAGATATTCTATGATCAACTGTTAGGTTTTGAAATTTTCTAAACTGCCATTTGCGGTTTGGTTTGTGATTTGGGGGATTAAACCGTCCAAAACAGACCTCGGACACTTCTAGTTCCATGTTTGACCTGACATAGGATAGGGGACTGGGATTAGGTGGGACAAAAAATAGTTTTTTTTGTTTCACTAAAATAGGTGGAACACGATGAGTTAGAAACTAAAAAATTAATAATCTACTTTTACTTAATATAACCTTAAAATGATATTTGTCTTAATGATCACCACTCTCCATCATTGCAACCACCATCAACAACAGCCATCATCAACTGCCCATTGATTACATCCACTTTCTCCTCCACCATCTTCACACCCATCGTCGGCTACCGACCACCACCTCCCATCGCGACTACCATTACCACTGTCAGCCACCTCCACCATAACCACCACTATCATCTACCATTGCCACCGCCCACCACCATCTCTATCTCACTGCATCTACCACAAGACCTCATGGTCATCATCCACCACCAAGGTCCACCATCTTCACGTCACCCACTACCATTATTGCTGTAACAACCTCAACGGGGACAAGCCCTAATTCATAAGATCTTCCAACACTAAATAAAAAATAGATTTTCCTTTGTACGAACCATATTTTTTCGAACTATCATCAATTATATTATTTCTTCATTTAAATTTGATGATATTATATATTTATGTATTTATCTATATGAAAATTGGGTAAAAATGTTTGCAAAATTAAATTATTTAAATATTTACTTGATTTATGCCAAAAGAATTATATGATGTGTGTGTGTATATATATATATATATATATATATATAGCCAAATGTTTAAGGAAAATCGTAAATAAATGAAAAACTAAAAAAACATTTTATATAACCGTTAAATTAACTAATCTAATGGATATGTTTAAATGGAGGGTTACAACAATATTTTTTAAATTAAAAAACCTCATCCTCCTATTTTTTATTCGAAAAATAAACAAAATTCAAGCGAAATAAATCAAACAAAAAAATGATCATATTTTTCTCGTTAAATTTGACATCTGTATTGATATATTTTTCCATCCATTTTTTTGTCGTTTTTCATTTTTCTAATTATTTAGTGTTTTCTCTTGAACTCTATGATTGTTCTAAGGGACGTTCCAATCTTTTTGCCTTTTTAGAGACTTTACTACATCTAAAACTTTTGATTACATTACGAGAATGAAATAACAGAGAATATATATGTTAAAAACAAAAATGGGTTAAACCTAAAGCGATTAACAATACGAAACTAAACCTAAACCATTAATAATTTAAACCTAAAACCAAACAATTAATGGTTTGAACCTAAATAATTTCGGCTATAGTTTTACACAGATAGATAAAAAGACCTTAAACACATGTAAATTTGGGCCCCATAATTTCGGAGACCCTGTTCAAAATCTCACATTTAACATGCTAAGGAACGACCTGATTGTTCTATCCAATTTCATTCGAGTTAAACATCAGATAGTCAACTTGTCATGTCCAATACTGTATTGTAGATCCTCATATTCAGTTAACCAGATCATATCTGCGTACTAAACGAAATTCGTAAATATATTGAAATGGAATCGAGTGAAATTAACGACATTGTTGGAGAAATTATTCCACTTTGCTAAAAGACAGAATAATGAAAAGTGGAAAGAAAACAAAGTATGTAAATCAGAGATTTGTAGTTAGTGGAATCTGATCAATCAATCCACTTTTTTGCATCATTTTAAGCCGGAATCTTATCAAATCATTCCAATGTTTGAAAATTTTACGATTATGGCAGATCAATCCAATTCAAACCTGAGCTCGAGTACCGACGACGGCGATGGCGATCGTCAAAGCCGGCTAAAACAGGCAATCGACGGCGGATTCATCTCCGACGACGAAGGATGGAGTTCAGAGAGTTCCGATACGTCAAGGAGGAGTTTGGCGGCGAGTTTCCGAGATTTTGCAGAGAGTATGATGAGGAGAGAAGTGGCGGATCTGGAGATGATGAAGGTGAGGGAGGCGGCGAGGATTGAGGCAGAGAATCGGAGATTGGAGAGGGAAAATGAGTTGATGGAGATGATATTGAAGACGCAGTTGGAAATTACTTCGTTTTTATGTTCACGAACCGGTGATCGGAAAAGGAGACGGAGTGAGATTGACGACGGTGATTCGCCGGAATCTATTCTAAGGTGAAGCCTTTAACGTCTCCGGTAACAAACCAACCGTAGTAACTTTAGAAAGCATAAAATGTAACAATATTTAATTGGGAGTTGACAAAATTAGTTATTTTTAACTAATTTTTTTTTAATGTTTGAATCAACAAGACTTGGGATCATGTGAGGACAGTCTGTTTTCGTGAGATCATTTTTTTACTCTTGAATTGTTGTGATGCTAACCTTCACAATGTTTTTTTTTTTTATTTTTCACAATGTTTTGCTATGAAGTTTCAAATGTAAAAAATAGTCTCACGAGTCTCATGAAAACAGACGGGTCTCATGTGAACCAAACCCTGAATCAAAATAGTCATAATTTCGTAAATGGCTCTTTCGTAATCTGCCAAATGATTTTTTGTTAATTAATGAAATATGACTAAGAGAAAGTTGTTTAAAAAATATTTTGGAGAATCTTTTGTAGATGTTCTAAAGAGATTTAGCAAGCAAGATAATATTTTACAAGTCTGACCGTGCTATAATCGTATTTAATTTAGAAAAAAATACTACAAAATGGGCATTTGTGAAAATCAGGGGTTGCTATTCATAACCTCTTCACTCACATACACTTTAAGGGGTGTTTGGTTAGAGGTATTAAGCAATAATCAATGAGAATCAAAATAAAAGAAGCTCTTTGGTTTTATATAATATAATGGACTCAATTCTTTAGAAGCCCAAATTTACATTTCAGGTTAAACTGGGGGAATAGAAATTCATTCTTATTTTCATTCACTATCATTTTCATTTTCATTTGTCTGAACCAAACACCCTCTTAATTCTTATCCCCCTCTCCTATCTCATTCACATACCCCTTATACGAGAGGTATGAATAAAATTCACCGCAAAATCTTGGCTAAAAGTTGAAAATGTTAATCCAAAAGACTGGTTTGGTCAATTTCCCAATTTCATGTAATACTTATTTTGTGCAACGATTTTTTTTAATTGATGTAACAAAGTTTAAATTTTTTGTAACGTTTGATAAAGTGAAAACTTGTTAATGAAAGTTTTAGAAAATAGTTATGAAAGGGTTACCGCGAAATAAATGATAAAGTTGACGTTCACATCATCATATATATTATACAATCAGAAGGTTACTGGTTATAATGAGTAAAAATAGGAAATTCTGAAATATTGTTATATGGACAAATTGCATGAAAAAGTAACGTACATTAACTTGATTCTTATTTTGGGTAACGTACTCTTATAACTTCCATTTTGGTACGTAAGATGTAAAGTTTTAAACATTTAAGTACTCGGGTAACTAGTTGAAGCATTAATCGGTTAGCATACTAATGTGGTATGCAACTCAGTATTACTTGTTGACGTGGTTAGTGACATGATTTTTTTTATCTAATTAAATCAGTCTTCAACCGGTTACCCGAGTACTTAAATGTTTAAAACTTTACATATTAGGTACTTGAAAGTTCGTTACTTAAAATAAGAATCAAGTTAAAATACGTTACTTTTTCATGCAATTTGACCAAAAAATTGTTTTATTAGGTTGCATTATGGTAATGTTATGAATGCCTTTGTATAATGCAGGGAAGGAGCAATGCTACTAAGCTTACTCCAATTCAATTTAGGCATATGAGTGTTGCATTTCATGTATTATATACATGTAACTTTTTTTATTTATTTATAATTTTAAGTCGATCTGAATATGAATGTGTCTTTTTGTCTTAATCAATAAGCAGAATCGAAAGGACATGAATACGGTTTAAATTGCTTGCTATGTTCTTTTTTCAAAATGTTTGCTAACTTTTGAGTGTCAATATACGTACGTTGTGTATGAACTGCTTTATTATATATGAATTTACTGAAACATGTATTTGTTCAACAAAAGAGTAAAATAACTGTTTCATCTTGCATGTAATGAAAGAAGTCAATTGTATCTCTTGTACAAGTTCTTGCAGGATTTTGGGTTCACGTGAGACCATCCTGTTTTTTGTGAGTCTTGTAAGATCATTTTTTTACATTTGAAACTTCACAGCAAAACGTTGTGAAGGTAAAAAAAAGTTGAATCTTCACAGCAAAAACACTGTGAACTTTTGCTATGAAGTTTCAAGTGTAAAAAAGTGGTATCACAAGTCTCACAAAAACATATTGGCCTCACGTGATCCCAAGTCTATCCTTGCATCTTGCTTTATGTGTGATCCGTTTTCAAAATTTTATATGGTCTAATGTCGCTTCAATTCCATTTGTAATTGCCTAAAAACAAACACAAGGTTAATCGACCAAATAAACAACGAAATATTTAAGATTTTCGAAAATCTCGTCTCATAATTGACTTGTTTTCATATAGAAAAAAAACCATAAAAAATAAATTTAAAACAACTAAATTTTCAATTAAATTTTACATTCTGTTGTATTGCAGTGTTACACTTCCAATATAGGTAGGGTGGTGCTTGATTGATTTGAGCTTGACTCCAAAGATCAAAAGTACCTGGATGTCCCAGGTTCAAATCCAATGAGGAATAAAAATCCCCTTGTGGCCACGGAGGTTCAAATGCGGTGACTCCGGGCTATTTGCAAAGCAGGTGATCACCTTGGGATTAGTCGGCTCACATAGCTGGTTGGATATCCAGGTTAATAAAAAAAAACATAAACAAACAAAAAGGTTAAAATATACAACTCCAATGCTTACAAGTTATATCCATATAACCATAAGGGTGATGTCTGATTGGTTTGAACTTAAATTCCAAAGGTCAAAAGTGTCTGAAGGTCTCAGGTTCAAAAATCAAATCCAAGGAGAAATAACAATCCCCTTGTGACCACAAAGGTCCAAATACGGTGACTCCAGACTACACGCAAAGCAGGTCGTCGCACTAGGATTAATCGACTTGCATAACGAGTTTGATGTCCAGGTCAATAATAAAAAAGTTACATCCATTTGCATTATTTTTAAGAGTCGAGCCTTTTGGTCAGTCATTATACCCCGAGAGGTAGAAAGAATTACAACCCTCATCCCACCTAAAATTCTAGGAATTCTTTGATAGTTCAAATAGATTCGTAGACCCGGCCGACTGATCCGTTTTAAATTTAAAAGATTTCTGTTCGTGTATTGATGTAATTTTTAAAAAATAACTGAACTCCGTTTAAAATTTTCTGTTAAATATGTTAAATCAAGGACATTTATCATTTTACCTTTTTCCTTATTTTCTATTAAAGATGTAAATAAGAGTATCATTGAAAATCTATAAAATATATATAGGGGAAAATCCGTAAAAAAATGAAAAAACTGAACAATACTCTGATAATCGTTTATCTGGACCGTATGCACATGTGCATGTAATTTGTAAGCAATTTGTCTTATATGCATATATGCATAAAAACCAAAAAACAACTTCAATAACTTACATACACGGTGCATACGAGTAATCTGCAAGCAATTTGTCCGGTATACACATATGGAGAATATGCACACGTGCATAAAAACCAAGAAACAGCTTCAATTACTTGCATATACATGTGCATACCATCCAGATAAATTGGTTAGTTACCAAGGTATTCCTCAATTTTTTGGGGTTTTCCACTAAACCTCCCTCTATATACATACACTTTAGAATACTTTCATGGGGTTAATAATAAGTGTAGTAGGTTCACGAAACACTATCATTTTGATCGAAAAAATTACATAGGTCGGAAATGGTAAGAAGTTGCATCATCCTTAGCTTCACATACCTTACAGAAATGGCTTTAGGTTGGGGAGGATTAATAACTATGGTAACTCAAACTGATAATCTGTATTATATATATTTACGAGGATTAAACCAGAACATGGTCAAAATAATAAAACAAGAAAACGACCAAATCCCATGTGATTTTGAACTGAAGTCATGCGATTAAGGAACAGGTCAAAGCAAGGGTGAGCGAGCAACTTGGCCAACGAATCTAAGGTCGTGGCTAGAGTCGCATGAATCACATGTGATTTGGCCGTTCTCTTGTTATCTTATCTGCTCATTGTTCTTGTTTGAACCTGACTCTATGAAATGCTATAGAAGCCTCAGAGGAAGTCATATTGAGGTTTCTTGGATGGCAAGGTATGGTCACGTTTAGCCGCGACTAGAACTTTATGTCGTTCTAAAGCGCTGTCGATGTACTCTTGAAGTGGTGGAAGTGAACCACCGTCTTCGTCTTTTTGTGCTTGCCCTCGTATAACCTACCATTCACATACACAATCGAAAGCAAGTTGTAAGCCAAACGACAACAATAATAAGTTTTTTATCCCTAAGGTGTAAGCTTAAAAAGGAGTACACCGTATTGCAAAAATATACAATTGGACAATTAGAAACCAAAACTAAATGAAGTCGGTATATCCAACTAAAAAGTACAGATGCAGTTATACGTAGTTGCGCCATTTGAAAAATGTTTGTTCTACAACACGGACATTAAATTTTTGTTGCTGAAATTTGTCTAGCAACTAAACACCGACTATGTGAAACCTCATTAAATTATCGTCCAAAAAACACCTTAAGTGTCGAGTTCTATAATGATAGACCTCGGCTATGATACTGTGAATATATGAAACCCCATTAGATTACTCTCCATATCAGCAAATAATGAGTTTATCACATATATCACACCATCAGCCACATCAGCATTGTAACAAGTTAATGCTTAAATCGGTTATCCAGGTACTTAAATATTTGAGATGTCAATACCAACACGGCACATGAGCATTAAAGCATAAGCGCAAGCAATACCAAGAAGTGAGCTACTTCCGACTACCCTAAAGAGCCTGCCTACCTATATATTAGGGCCTGTTGTTAGCAACTTAATAGGCTTATTGAGACTTATAACTTGTTCGATCAGCTATACATGACTATTTGGTAKTAGCTTAATGATATAGAAAGTGGCTTATTCAATAAGCTTCTAGGGGGCTTTATGCAGAAAGCCAAGTTTTTTCCAAACCTGTCCCTTAATTATAAGATGGAGAAAGAAAGTCTCTTTCTAGTTTCTATTAATAAGGGTAAAATTGTCAATTTAGTTAAATGAAAGTGTAATAATTACACATACCTAAATTGTTTGTCTTTTTCATTGTGGACACTTGTTTCGGGACGGAGGGAGTAATATATTTATATGAAACCAAAATTTTACGACAGAAAACAAGAAACAAATAGAACATAGGGGAACAATATAGCAATAAGGCAATATGTAGGATGGTTCAACATTCGTTACCTTTGATGCCCAACGCCTCTCTGCTTGCTGACACACGTCTCTAATATCCCGTCCAGACATTCTGAAAATTGTAAATTTATATCATTAAAAAGCAACGAACTTAAAAAGATAGGGGTTCTCAACTTTAATACTTCAACCAAAACATGACTCTGGAATCGAATGGCGGACATCCATCATGCCTATTGTTTCAAATAAATAAGAATATGGGTCTTGAACTTTACTATTTCAACTTCAACATGAATATAGGAAGTGGAAACTGCATAGCAGTGTCCACTTCATATATTTGGATGACAAATTTGTGTTTCTAAAATTTAAATTTGCATGATCTTTGTTTAAAAAGAGAAAAGCGAACCCGCTTTTGATCTGATGTATCTTTATGGTTTAATATGGCTATAATTATATCATCGTATAAATATGTTTATATCAATTTGAAGTTGAGAAGTAGTTTGTTAGCTCAAAAATCAAATGACGATTTCATAGGGGAAGGATAAAATGAGATAAGCTACAAGGAAGAGTGACTTAAGACCTGCCTGTTAGCAGCTTAATGAGCTTAATAAGACTCGCAGCTTATTCGGTCAGCTATACATGATTGTATGGTAGAGACTTAACGAAATAGAAAGTGGCTTATTCATAAAGTTTCTAGAAGGGAGCTTTACGCAGAAAGCCAAGGTTTTCTAAACATGCCCCTCCCAATTAAAAAACAAGATCCTTCCATCTATGAAAAAACCCTCAACCTTCCCAATCTACACAAACAGATTAATCCACATACATCTTTATCCATACAGAACTTAATGGAAAACCAACCAAGCAGCCACTTACTCTTCAGTAGCTGCAGCCAATTCAGTTAGGTCGGTCTTTGCTAAATGTTTTGCATATTGAGCTGCTATCTCCTGACGAGTTTGCTGATCAGGTAAGTCAAATGTGATCATTGAGTCAAACCGACTGAGAGAGAGTTGAGAACAAGTTAAAAGGAACTCCAAGAAATGGTCTGAAAAAGTTCACTTATTTAGATACAAGAAACTATGCTTAAGGAGACAAGCAACTATGCACCTTAATAAAGCAGGATCAAGATCTTGTTTCCTGTTGGTTGCAGCAATGACCACGCATTTTTTATCCTGCTCAAACCCGTCAATCTGCAGAAGAGTAATAGATATGGTAAATTGGTAATTTCAATACTTTATATGCTTTTACCAATTTAAAAGCCAACCCATTTGGGTGAAAAACCTGACGTAATATGACCGACAAGATTCTCCGAGTAGCTTCATGAGTTTCACCATCACGAGCAGTAGCGAAGGAATCAACCTGTTTATAATCAGGAAAAATGGACAAGGATGAAACTAGATCTCAGACATATATTCACAGAAGAGAACGGAACGAATGATCATGACAATTCACATTTTCTACATCAGTACCTCATCGAGGAATATGATTGCACCACTGGGAATTTCATTGGCAAGTGTAAACACTTTACCCAACAACCTTTCACTTTCACCAAAATATTTTGACATAATCACCTCCAACGGCACGTATAACAATGGGACACCCTGCATAACAGAACAAGATCCTTTAGTAAACCATTTCATTTGAATTCTCAAGATTCAAGAGAAGGATCTTATAGAGATGCTAGTCCCTCTTGTTTTAATGTAGAAAAGGATATGCATACGTTATAATTCGCAATTAAGATATTTTTTTATTCAGTGGTCTTTAACGCCCCTTTTGTCCTTGTTGGGTAGAATGCCGTCCGCTGTAGGTTATCAACCTACCCTTGGTACCGAAATGGGTTCTTTACAAGAAGGGCGCAAGACAACTCTCTCTAAGGAACTCGGCAAAATAGCCCCGTAACTTCGGAAGAAGGGGTGCCTCCTCACAAAGGGGGTTGCAGTGACCAGGCCCGGGCGAACTTAAACACACCAGTCACACTGGAAATAACTTTTGCACGGAAGTCGTCATAGATTAACCAAATACTCCCACAAAAATGCATTTGCATATATTGCTGCTAATGTTGTGAGGCATGTTGTCCTATAATAAGAATAAATAAAAGCTGAATTTTGACTTGAGATGAGAGAAGCAAGAAAAAGCTCTATATTAACTGGAGATGTCAATCAGCTTAGCTGGGAAGAGACTAATAGGAGAGTAGCTGATGTGGAAGGAGAAGGAGGTAGACCCATATCCTAATATTGCCTACAGATGGACTAGCATGTTCTATTCTACAAAATATATAGAGATTGCTATCACAGAGCATCTAAAAGCATAAGCATGCAACCATTCTTGCACAGTCAAACATGCAAACCGTTAGCTTATCATGCTACTCATCAGTTCCTGTATGTATGATCAAATACTGGCACCTCGCTATCTAAATGGAACAGTTGGTTTTTATCGAACTTCATCCAAAACTGGCTGCAAGCAAATAAGATAAATTCCAACCAAAATGTACTAAAGACAACCTCTGTGGACAAACAACTAGATGCATGATCAAACAAAACAAAAGGCAAACAATGTTGATGGAATTGCATATGGCCCAAATTCACTTCAAATATTAATAGGATAAGATAATATAGAGGTTTAAGTGCATAAATTTTAAGGATTTTGAGCAATGAAAAAAAAATATCAGAAAGGGATAACTGATAGCAATAAGACAATCAAATTACCGCTTCATTAGCTATAACACGAGCACAGGACGTCTTCCCAGTACCTGATATTAAAGCAAGACAGCAAGTTAAGCACATTAGTTTCAGGATTTCAGCTAAGGCGACATAAGTCAAGATATACATTTACGTACAAGCTGGGATATAATTTATTACTGTAAATTTCAAATTCAAACAAAAATCTACAGATAGGTGAAATGGGGGATTTCAACCAAGCCTTGAGGTTGAAGACTTCCCACAGTAGTGGCATTTTCGGCAGGATCTGAAAACACAAAAAGCATAATCTTTTCTAGATAATAGAAATAGGAACAGATATTGTGACATTTTAGAAGTTGGACCTCGTATGCACACCGGTACACACTTATTACTAAAGCAATCCATTTCTTATTTGGGAAACATTCATATGGAAAATTACCTCAAACCCTTATTACTAACCAGAATCTTAACAAAATAAAGCGAGTCAGGAACTATTCAAGAAACTAAAACATAATCAAATCTTCTAAAATGATTAAAAGTAAATAGAGTTCAAATGATAGGAAAATTCAATTATAATCAAGTAAATTGTTAATACACCTCAATAAATTGGGGAGCCTGAAAGGAGTTTGATGATGATAAAAACTTGTCATCTTCTATGTAAGAATCCTCAAAAATTCATGAAGGTGCTAAAGTTACGGGAAAAACCTGGTGGACCTTCGAACAGTACCGCACGAGGTCTATTTGTCTCAAACTTGCACCGGGTTCCACGAGCAATTTCATCATAAACCTCAGGGCTCTGCAGAGCCAACAGTATTGTATCTTCTATATCTCTACATATAAACAATCAAAACTGAAAACATAAGCTAACACGTTTATTTAAAATAGATCCATCACCTGCTAAGTTTTGACTCACAAAAGGACAGATGTACCATTTAGAAAGGAAAGGTGAAGTGGATATCTGGATCACATTTTATAGAACCACTTAAGGGTAAATTACAACAATGGACAATTATAAAGGCATGTATTAGGCATAATCATTTGTCAATTTCCTTCTTTTCTTGCATCTTGCAACAGGAATATGTTCATTTAAGTATAAAAAAATCCTCCCTCCGTTCCACAAGAAATGCAACGGTTGTTTTTCCACTAATAAGAGATGAATTGATTTTCAGCTTATTTCCCTGAGTTCCCTTCCACTAACGACACAACACCAACTGGTAGTGAACTGAAAATGGGGGAAACGATTCAAGACATGGTAGTAACAGAGATATTGTTTCTTTCTTTTTGGAAAAACTGAACTTCCATTGAAGAGGAAATAAAGATCCAAATTGAGGCGCACATGGGAAAGGCAAGATGGCAATCTAGAAATACAGTGATACCGCAAAGAGATGTAAAAGTACAAACCACTATATCTAGATGAGCCCTTGCTGTGATACCATTCTAACGCCCAAAGCCCAACAGTAGGATGGCCAAGAAGCCCTGATCATAAAACCTTTGTGGCAAGTCTGAGTAGCCCGAGACCAAAAGCATAAAATAAGACTCACAATTCATATCCACAACCTAAGTTGGAAGGATGTTACATCAGAAGTGTAATTTACTTCCCATTCCGTCTAGGAATAAAAAACACAGATCTGCATTGAGTAATGCACCACATTTGTAGGTCTATTCCTTTCTCAAGTAAAACCAAACATGGTTGAATTCATTCCTGGGTAAGGTTTCATTCCTTTCACATCTTCATTATGGCCTACCAAACAATGCATAAGGACGATGCTTATCCATAAACTTTTGACAACATAATGTTGACTTCTAAATTTAGTAAGGTTTGTCAAAGAAGGTCCTTGTCAACTTGGTGAAGACATCACCCTGAGAAGAAGAGGATTAAGGACAAAAATATGAAAGCAGTTGGACTAATCACCAAAGATGTACTAAAAGCAGTTACTACATGACTTTCCCATTGGTTAACCATGAAGATTGGATAGTGTCAATCAGTGTTGTGGTGGAGTGGTTAGTGCCTGGGCAGTTCATAGCGCTGAACCCAGGTTCGAACCCCTCTTCACACATCCTGTGCGACATTTACTAAAGGGGCATGCTTTAGCCCTGGATGTGCCTAGGATTAGTCGAGCATTGGCTCGGATACCCATTTCAAAAAAAAAAAAAAAAGATTGGATAGTTACACCATTAGGGAAGCAGTTGTGCAGTTAAGAGACATGCTGCATCTAATGGAAGGGACAGGATAACCGTCAACTCAAATGAAAAGAACATAGCCTAGGGGAAGCTGATGCAGACAGGTATAAATAAGAATCCTATGTCACCATTAGCAGGGGAAGACTCTTTGCACACCTCAATATATAGCTAACAAATAGAGCACTAGTCAGCTTTAAGTTGCCTTGACAATAGTTGTTTCATTTTCATCAGGTTCGACTAGACTTAGGATGCTTTTCTATTTTATTGTAACCCACTGCTTCATGCAGTCTTGTGATTTAATTTCCTACAATACAATTCTTCTTCATTTCTAGGTAATGGCTGCATTGATCAACAAGAGTCAGAAACTGTAGAAAAACACCAAGGCCATATAACATTCACGTCCTCTAGAAGGATTGATGTCTGGAAGTTCACAGAAGCTTGCAGCAGAAGAAGATACAAACTTTCTGGAGGGTAACTCAACATTCTCCGATGCTTGTGGCTATTATGCTAGAGAAGACCTTCACTAGGTATATAAGACCAAGATATGTTTAGTGCTTTTTAGAGCAACCTCAGTTTGTGCATGATGCATATATTTGGACTAAGTTTTCATGGTTGAAATATGTCCATTTCTCGTTACAGCAAAGAGAAGTTTGAGGAGACATGGTTCAACCTTCTAGTAAGTTTCATACCTTTTCTGCTGATTATACCCTGCGATGTTTTCCCATGATATCTCAGACTTTTGGTACTCTATTTTAGGCTCCTTAAGTCCATAGATCTTCACCCCCATGCCCTCTAGACTGGTGACTGACTTATCCATGGACGGTGTACGTGTTGTATCTCCTCTTCTATCCGCAATCCTGCTTTGGCCCGCTCCTGCCAATTTTAACACAGATGCTAGAGCATCAAGTTCCTCAGCAGTAAAGCTCCCTTGCTTTATAAACTCCATTTCCTACATAAGTTTGTGAAAAATATTGATAGTATGAGAAAATTTCAGATACAAGAACAGTTTTAAATATGGTTTTGATAATGTAATCACCATCCTTAAAGAATTATTGTCGGGATGGCAGTATTCCTCCAGGGTTTATAAAGCCAAAAGATATTACAGACCTTAGGAAAATAATGAATTTGTTTGGTGTAACTGAAGAGAAGAGGAGCAGATATCTGTAAATGTTGGACGAACACAGATATTTATAGGTTCTGGTGGCCAAGCAGTTATAATACAATTAAAGCTGTCAATAGCTGCAAAAACTAATTAATTCCGAAATTAATAAATTCTCTTGAGCTCCAATTTTAGGCCCAAATGGCATCTTTGACTACTCCAAATCCTCTCTTTGAATTTCTTATTTATGAACTAGCCTTTCTCTGTATAAACACTTTGGAACTTCTGTAAACCAGCAATGTGAGATAAAATTTTCGTTCTTCTGCACATTAAATCACTAAATAACTACATGTGTATAATTTCCAATAGATATAAGATATATAGATCATTAACAAAATTTCCAATACATATAAGATATAAAGAATCACTAAGAAAAAAAATTGGAGCATATGGATGATCAAAGAGAAGTTAAGGGAAGTGGAGATAACTGGTTTATCGGAACTAATGAGTGATCGGAACAACAAAATGCAAAGATCTCCATCATTTGAGTTTGCATCAGAACTACCCTTATTCTTTACAGCTTCCTTCTGCACCACTGGACGACTGAGTGTTAACTGCCAGGCAACGCCACTGAGATCGGACACAAGAAACAATCATAAGTAGTGCGCAGAGCTTGCAGCATATTCACAAAATTAAAGTAATATAAAGTTAATGCTGGTGTGCAAAACCACCCATTATATAAGATGTACTTCAACCATCACAATTCACTACCAAATAGAAGTGCATCACATGAAAATGTAATGAAGTGACTAATGTAAAGTCTACAAGCTTACCTATCCCAAGCACGCAAAGCCATATCTGAACCAGTAGCTCGTTCCTCAACTTTGACCCCAAGATGTGCAACAACATTTGAAATCAAAAGTGCAATTTCACAGGTAGGAGGAATTTGGAACTTGATTGTAACCTACATTGTAGCATCAAATAAGTTGCAAATAAGAGCACTGGCAAGGATATAAGTGAATCTAAAGCAATGTACAGAACAAATACTGTCAAGAAAAGCAAACAAACATCTTCTCCTTTATGTTATTTATCCCAAAATTTTGACCAGCTCTCTTTCCAAGAATCAAATTAAATTTCTCTCTCACAATTTTATAAACCATTGAGGTGCAGGGCAAGACCATTGGTAGTTCAACATATAATATGGAACACATTGCATAGTTCCATGACGACTTAAGCTAACAGATAACCAGTACAAACATCAAGGAGTTACTATCATATAGCATCAAAAAGCATAGTTCCAAAACAACTAAAACAAACAAATAAACAGTACAAATATGCAGGATGTCGTAATTTGATTAGCAGGTATGCTGAGAGGCTACATGTATCATAGTTTCCAGAACATAGGCATTTCTTATTTCCTTTATCCCAAAAGAAAAGAATGACGGGCTCACTCAATAGTTGTAATACATCATAATGGTCGACGAGGTGAACTTAATACCATCAGAATGAATAATACCTTATCACATTGATAAATTCAATTAAATTAACAGCTTCGAAATGTGATTAAAGTTAAGAAAAATGGACTGTTTAGGCTGTACTCATGAGCTCTCAAGTAACTAAAACTCTTGAGTTGTCCAACAAACGTAATAGCAGTTAGCAGTCATTAGCTTTAGTAGACAATCCTGAACATTACAAACTATTACTGATCTCATACACATGAACTCCATATACTAACCATAGTAATAGACAAGTGGTCAGATTGAAACTGCTTTGGCCGCAGTTAGAAATGAAATCGGGAAGTGGATACTAGTTCAATTATTTGATGATCCAACACTGATGCAAAAGAACTTCACTTATTCAATAATACCCCAATCATGTTCCGGTTATCAAGTTAAAGAATGAGGATACACAACTCCGACATGATTTGTCGTCAAGTATAATCCCCAAGTAGACATCAAAATCAACCCAGTGCACTGGCCACAGAAAGCAACTGAATAACCTTTTGGCCCTTCACAGCAACAGTAAACCGAGGACAAGAACCATAGTGCATTCCTTTGCTTTTAAGCAACTCTTCTAATCGAGCTCTTTCATTTTTGGCAATAACCTCCATATCAACATATGTGGAAGGTGATTCAGGTGGTGAAGGTGTTTTAGCCTCAGCCTGTAAATAATCAAATCTTAATAATGGATTGTAGAACTGCTGGACGATGAATTTGAACATGTAGAACAAGAAAAAAAAAAACAAAAAAAAGAGAACAAATATATATATATGATACTAGTTGGTCCGGTGGATATTAAAAATAGAATATGATCAAACATGAGAATTCATATCCAAAATTTCTTTTTTCATCAACTATTAGCACTGGGAACGGAAATCCAACCAATAATATTCCATACAAACCTCAGGTGCATCTGCATAGGCTATGTCTACTAGGCCAAATCCAAAAAACCCGGCTAGCATAGCAGGAAGAAAATTTAATCCAGGAACATTAGTTGACCCGCAAGACTTATCATGGTAAGGGTGGATGTTGTGCTTGAAAGTACCTGCAGGTGTCAATTCCGAGCCAGTGATAAGCTTGTCATTTCTCACAGATATTCAGTAACCAGCAAGTAAATCTCCAAAACCCCAGAAAAAAAGGTGAAGTGAAATGTCTGTTGAGGCAATGGAGTGAGTATATGAAAATTATTCGCAACCTCTATGAAACTAAACTTGCAATTAACATCATTTTAGTTTTCAAACTGGTAGAAGAGTTAGTTCCAATAACTCCGTCAATAACTAACAAATGAAACCATTCAAATGAAGGCAATCAACCATCCACAGTTTCAAATGTTCACAATTTTTCAAAAAGAAACTTCGATTATGAAAGGGATGGAGTAGTCGAGTACTCTGGAGGATAACACTGTGATCAACTGATATCAAGAACAGCTATACAAAATTGACAACAACAATATGATACATAAGAAATCAAGTTAAATTTAAAAAAACATCTTCATGAACGTTAACAAGTAATCTGAGAAACATACAGTAAGGGAGGTGGGGCGGAGGTGGATTTGAAGGTGTTAGGGTTCTACGATATGCGATTGTACGGCACATCTGAATTGTTCGAGCAAGACGACGCATTGACGCCATGAGAACTTCTCAATCTCCTTCGATTTTTCTCTGGCGATCACAAGTTCTGAGAGCGTAAATTATACGAAAGCTTATGGTTAAAGACTTAAGAGCACAAAAACAACCATGGCGGATGGCGCGCAAGCACCTGCGAGTTCTAGCGGCTCTCAACACTTTTGGGCTTTATTGGGCTTTGTTTAGCCCATTGGGTTGGAGTTTATTATGCCATTAATGGGCTGTATTAACTTCAGTTTCTCTTATGCAAAAATTACAATAAATGACCAAGGTGCTATTTGTTTTTTTAATAGACGTTAAAGTTTAAAGTCTTATTCCACTTTGATTGATAAGAGGTGGTGCTGAAGTCTGAAATCAGAATCAATAAGACTGTTTTTTTTTGTAAACTGATAAATGTTTGTCCGTAAGGCTATTGACACGTCCTGTTTGTCTGTCTGTAACCTCCCAAAGACCAGCTTCAAGCCACATTCCCTTAGCATTCGGACAATCCATAGAGAGGTGCCAATTATTTTATGGGTTGCAATCACAAAGACCATAGATACAAGGGCTCCTAAGCCCCGGATTTGGAGATTAACGCGGGTGAGAAGAACGTCCTAGCAGCTCTCCAAGCAAAAAACCGCACCTTGTGTGGGATGTTAGCACACCAATTTTTTGTCCATTCCCCATCCATAAAAAAATGCGAGTTTGGAACAATTCTTTCCCTTAACAAGCGATACCCAAATTCAACTAAATAAATCCCGTTGGGAATCCAATGCCTAATAATTCGAAAGTGGAGAAATGCCAAGGATTTCTTTTCGTATCACATGGGAAGAGTAGACACCTAATTTTGGTCATATCCCACTCAATAGAGTTTGGAAGAAATAAGTCAAAAACCCGAATCACACATATCTCATCATTACATGTTATCTCCAAACGAAAATTATGGTCATCGTGAAGCCATGGGTTGTCCCACACTTTGGTAAGTTTCATTTTATACCTCACATGCATTATGTTAAATAGGGTTGGGTTCATGTGAGACACGATTTTTACACTTGAAGGTAAAAAAAGACGAACATTCACAGCAAAAACACTGTAAAGGTCATGTAAAGTTTCAAGTATAAAAATCGTGTCTCACAATAACAATCGTATCTCATATGATCCTAAATCATGTCAAACATTTAAACGATCGGTACGTTCAAATGATTTAAATAATTTATATAATAATAAAGTTACGCGCTTTGACACATGCATCCAAAAAGACAGATTTTTACATGTTAGAAATAAAAAAGCTACTTTCAATTTTTAATTAATATTTTACACATATTAAAATAAGAAAAATAAATTAAAAAATAAAATAAAAAAGTCAAAACACTTTCTTTGTGAACAGACTCCTCAAATTAAACAAACTGCTTGCTCCACCTTCAGCACCGGCACTCGTCGGCGTTACGTCGGCGTTTCGGCCGGCGTTATTCTCTTTAGTCACATCACTCCGGCAACTCATACGTTGCCGGTAACCAATACACGTCGGAACATTAAGATTCAACACCTTAGCATTAACTCCGGCGCCGGTTCCGGTGGTAGAATTTTTGGCCGGCCGGGAACTTTTCTCGGCGGTGGTCCGAACCAAGTGGTCATGCAGACTTTTACTTTGACCAAACCGTTTGACTTGCCAAACCGGACTACTCCGGCCCAAATGAACCCCACCCCGGTTCGGACTACTCGGCCATTTCCTATACTTGGATTCGCCGGTCGAGTTACTCCTAGAGCACGGCGCACTACTCACTTTCCGGTTTCCGACCACCGTTCGCGGCCTACTTCCACCGTTCCCAGCCGATCTACTCCTCGAAAAGGGCCATAAATTTATATTCAGCTCCGCCGAGCTCGTCGCACCACCGCCGCCGCTAGAACCACCACCGTTTCTCTCTTTCTTTTTCTTCTTATCTTTCTCTTTACTTTCTGGGCTTTTTTTGAAAATGTCTTTCCACCGTTTAGATGCAGAAACGGAATCCTTCGTTCTCAGGTCGGATCCGTTAATGGAATCCGGATCCGGGTTAGATGTGGATATAGATTCTGTGGTGATATCTTTATCAGGTGGGTCGTCGGAGTTTTGGGTGTTGAGATGTTGGAGGGGGAGGAGGACGCCGCCGGAGAACAATTCGTCGGCTGAATGAAGGGTGGTTTGCTGGGAAGATGGGTTTCTGATCATCCAGAATTCGAATTCCGGTGAATTAGAGGCGCTGCTAGCTCTGCCATTGATGTTGGTTGAGAGAATTGTGGGATTTTCCATGGAAGAGAGAGAGAGAGAGAGAGAGGGAGAGAGAGAGTGGTTGAGTTGGGTGCATATGGGGGGTTTATCATTCATTGAATTTGAAGGAAGGAGATGGATAATATATAATCAGTATAAAGAATTGAATAAAATGGAAATAATTTAATGTTGTTTTATGAGAAGAGAATAAATTGGAAACAAAATAATATATATACAATTAATTGTCACATTCTTATAATTAAAATAATCATTTTCCATTTTGAATTTCTTTTTAATATTTAAAACTGTTATTACCTAACAATTTTGGGTCAAACCGTAAAAAATGTTTTTGAACAAAATTCGTAAGTATAGAGACTAAGGGGTTGTTTACCAAAAATTTTATTAAGTCTTGTATGGATAAATTTGTCTATCCGGATAAATGGGTGTTATTGTTTACTTCTTTTATCTGAATCAACAGTCTGAATAACATAAATGATCGATTTACCCTCCAATATAAATTATTTGAACATCAAAACAAAAAATCATAAAGAGACCGAAGATGGGGTGTCTCATATGGGAAAGAGGCGGAATGTCATTTTTGTGGCTGAATGGGGACAATACACCATTTTATATGTGCGATTAAGTCATGTTCTGTGCGAATAAGCCGTAAGTAAACAACCCAAATGAACTGTGTGAATAAGTCAAATAGACCAATAAGCCTAATCAAGCCGTAAGTATAGACCTTTAGAAAAAAAAATACATTTTGATCCCTTCGTAATTCACAAATCGAAGAGGTGACACTTGTGGAGGTAGTGCTATTTTAGAAATTTGGGGAGAAAAATATCTAAGAAATAAATACAAAGGCTGAAAATGGCTATTTGTATTAATTTCTCTTATATAAAAGATAACATTTTATTATTGAGTGTGTATAAATTTATACATTTTTACTCGATAAAGTATGGTATCTCCAACATTTATATATATATATATATATATATATATATATTTTATTTAGAGATTTCTCTTTTCTCTCCTAATTTTGTCATTTTAGAAGAGAACTTAACATATATACTGAAACAAATTTTTCTCAGATCTCCAAATTTCTAAAATGATATAACTGTTGGAGACGTTCTAAGTGATAATCATGTTCATGCACAAGATAAACGTTGAGTCTCACTTTAAATAGACACGTACATTTACTGAAAAGTCTGGTCTAGTCAAACCAGTCCAAAAAGACATGGACCGGTTTTTTCTGTAGGATAAGAACCAATTTAAGAGCAATGACCTATACTAGTCTTGGTCTGACCCTTATTTGATCTTTGTTCTGTTTGTTTGATCTGATTTTTAATTGTTAATAAAAGTAATCGATAGTTTTTCTTTAAACGAATGAGTTGTTCTGAATCCGACTTGGTCCGATCTGGTCCAATTTTTAATCTAAACAGGGATTTGTGCCATCCCAAAAAGACTGGAATGAGACCGAACCATCTCAATAAAGTTTGGAACGATTAAAGATCAATAGTCTGCTTTGGTACAACCTGACGACTCACAGTCTAGTCCAAAACTAGATTAATCTGGACTAAATAGTCTTGTGACTTTGTCCATCTCTAAAAGTCTACACCCTACCAATATAGCATAATACTCTATAAACTTCATATATTATTTTGTAAAATAATATACATACATATATATATATATATATATATATATATTGGGATATTGGGTTCACGTGAGACAATGTTGTTTTCGTGAGACACGATTTTTACATTTGAAATTTCACAACAAAATGTTGTGAAAGTAAAAAAAGCCGAATTTTCACAGCAAAAAACATTGTGAATGTTACATTTACAGTGTCTTGTTGTGAAGCTTCAAGTGTAAAAATCATGTCTCACGAAAACAATCATCTCACATGATCTAAGTCTCTCTCTATATGTATGTATGTGTGTGTATGTATATATATATATATATATATATATGAATATATATATAGGGTATATTTCTTTTACAACCTTGTGTATTTGTATAACCCTTGCAACCCAATTAATTAAAATATTTATAGAAATGATGAGAGTTCATTTATTATGATTTGAATATTTATGGAATATGAATAAAGTTCATTAATTATGATTAATACTTTATATTAGGAAACAATCAAAACTTCTATGAAAATCACATATTCATCAAATGAAATGGACGGTTGAGATTTGGTTGTATTGGTTACACAAATATCAATGGTTGTATAATAACCAACCTCTATCTCTCTCTCTCTCTCTCTCTCTCTCTCTCTCTATATATATATATATATATATTTGAAAATGCATGTTAAAAGATACTTTGATGACTTGAAGTGTAAGTGAAGGAGGGTTTGCCAAAAATGGTGAAGGAAAATGTGGTTTAATAATGGAAGGTGCATATGCATATGCCATTTCTAGGGTTCAATAATGCACCATGCCCTTCACACTCATCATTTTGTTTTCTTTGGTCCACACCAACACCAACAACAACCCAAACATCAAAATACAAACCAACTTCTTTAACTTTTGTTTCATCAAATTTTATTCAAATCATATCGATTTCTTTTTTATGTTGTTACCGTTTCTAAACTAAAGGATAGAATGGGTTTCTCGACACATGTTTGATGTTCTTACACCTGTTTAGAAACACAGTTTATTTCTCACAAGTAATAACAGTGACAAAAATAATCAGATGTATAAACCATATTTATCATATATGACATAACTAAATATTTTAAAATCAAATTGTATATACGATTATGCGATTAATTAATATTATATTTACTATGTCTTGTTTGTTTTTTCAATTTTACCTCTTAATGGCCACTTACCACTTAATTGGTCAGAGGTTTTTAAATTCAGACCGTTTTTCTTCGGACCCTCTTATCTCTTAAAATAATCTGAAAAATAAGTGGTAACCTAACCCTTTAACACCTCTTAATTGCTCGCTTACGCCTCTAAGTTCATACGCCTCCTTAAACCGACATCTTGTCAGTTTCTACAATTAAATGAATCGAAACCCAAAACTTAGAAGATAACTGATTCAACATTTAAACAAAGTGATGTTCATAGGAACTAAAGTGGCATTCACAACTTCAATGGTCTTTTATGCTTTAGATTTTGGTCAAAGTAAAGTGGTGTTTCGTTTAAAACCAAACAATCCAACATCGAAGGATTTTCCACTTTGTCAGATCGTGCAGCCTTTGAAATGCATTAGTGGGGGTTTTGATGACTGCAGTCTAACTTGAAAAAGTAGAATGGTTGATATGTGGAATTGCAAACTCGAGGTGGGGTGTTAGATAGATGAGAGAAAACCAAAAAGAAAACAAGAAACATGATGATGGATGATGAAGATGAAAGTGTTTTTCATGCTTCATCCATATAATACTAGAGGAGTATTTGTACAATGTAGCGAGATACATCTCAATTTTATTGTTTCATTTAAGCTTTGTCTATTGATATAATACAGTTTTATATGATTTTGAGAAAATGATAATGTTTTTATTTTTGAATATAATATAAATTTGAAGATATTGTAATTAAAATTTTGATAAAAAAAATATAGATGTTAGTATCAAATTAACTATTTAAAAGTTCTCGTTTTTTATGTAATTTATTTGATTCAATTTTTTTATTATTATAACTTAATTTAGATATAATAATGAAATAATTTATTTTTGGTTTAATTATATAACATTTTTATAAAAATAATAATTAAGTATT